CTGTCCTGTGGGTCGAGTGCTGTGGGAGGCTGGTGGTACAGTGGTTCGTTGGTGCTGCTGTGGCGATATTCCTCAGGCATTGTCTTGACGTTGTCTGTGGGAGAGACAAGCTGCGTTACTAGACGTCTGGGAGAGAGACAGGTGTTAGAAGACGTCTGGGGGAGAGAGACAGGTGTTACAAGACGTCTGGGGGAGAGAGACAGGTGTTACAAGACGTCTGGGGGAGAGAGACAGGTGTTACAAGACGTCTGGGGGAGAGAGACAGGTGTTACAAGACGTCTGGGGGAGAGACACAGGCGTTATTAGACATCTGGGAGAGACACAGGTGGTACTAGACGTCTGGGAGGGACACATGTGTTACTAGACGTCTGGGAGAGACACAGGTGTTACTAGACGTCTGGGAGAGACAGGTGTTACTAGACGTCTGGGAGAGACACAGGTGTTACTAGACGTCTGGGAGAGACACAGGTGTTACTAGACGTCTGGGAGAGACACAGGTGTTACTAGACGTCTGGGAGAGACAGGTGTTACTAGACGTCTGGGAGAGACACAGGTGTTACTAGACGTCTGGGAGAGACACAGGTGTTACTAGACGTCTGGGAGAGACAAGCTGGGTTACTAGACACACACACACACACACACACACACACACACACACACCACACACACACCACACACACACACCACACACACACCACACACACACACCACACACACACACCACACACACCACACACACACACCACACACACACACACCACACACACACACACACACACACACACACACACACACACACACACACACACACACATGTTCCTAGGACAAATGTTAACAAACACATAAAAGCACGTCCAGAAACTAGAGAAAGTGCAAAGGTTTGCAACAAGACTAGTCCCAGAGCTAAGAGGTATGTCCTATGAGGAGAGGTTAAGGGAAATCAACCTGACGACACTGGAGGACAGGAGAGATAGGGGGGACATGATAACGACATACAAAATACTGAAAGGAATTGACAAGGTGGACAAAGACAGGATGTTCCAGAGATTGGACACAGTAACAAGGGGACACAGTTGGAAGCTGAAGACACAGATGAATCACAGGGATGTTAGGAAGTATTTCTTCAGCCACAGAGTTGTCAGGAAGTGGAATAGTTTGGGAAGCGATGTAGTGGAGGCAGGATCCATACATAGTTTTAAGCAGAGGTATGATAAAGCTCACGGCTCAGGGAGAGTGACCTAGTAGCGACCAGTGAAGAGGCGGGGCCAGGAGCTGTGAGTTGACCCCGGCAACTACAACTAGGTGACTACAACAATTATTAACCAAATTCGGGAACCAGTTTAACAGTCTCCTCCTCCTCCTCCTCGTATCAAACCATAACATCTGGCTAATTTAATCAGACATCCTGAATATCGTGATATAAATCTCTGACTTTAATTATTGTATTAGTAAGATAGATGCTGGTAGTTGTGGTTGATGCTGGTAGTTGTGGTTGATGCTGGTAGTTGTGGTTGGTGCTGGTAGTTGTGGTTGATGCTAGTTGTGGTTGATGCTGGTAGTTGTGGTTGATGCTGGTGTTGTGGTTGATGCTGGTAGTTGTGGTTGATGCTGGTAGTTGTGGTTGATACTGGTAGTTGTGGTTGGTGCTGGTAGTTGTGGTTGATGCTAGTTGTGGTTGATGCTGGTAGTTGTGGTTGATGCTGGTGTTGTGGTTGATGCTGGTAGTTGTGGTTGATGCTGGTAGTTGTGGTTGTTGGTAGTGGTGGTGCTGGTGGTATTGCTAGTGGTGGTGCTGGTGGTGGTGGTATTGTTGGTGGTGGTGGTGCTGGTGGTGTTGCTAGCGGTTATGGTATTATTGTTGTCGTTGCTACATGTCATTACTACGGTTCGAGTCAGATGATCGTCACACTGCACACTGACAAACACAACGCCTCAGATAGCAGCATCACACTTGCTTCAAGTCAATCTCTACCCTAGTCATCCATCTTGCATTCTACTTCCACTATACCGCTTCATTTGATTGAATTTCCTCCCCAATTCCATTTCAAATCCTTTTCGTTCATTTTTTTCAAGTCGAGAAGTTGATTTGTCGTCAGTAAACGTCAGGTTGCACAAGTTCCACTGCGAAATTTGGTGTTTAATTGTCTTGTAGTAGTAGCCAGTGGAGACTAGGGCTGGTAGTGAGCAGCTGCTACTAGCTACTAGTCACTTACATGCAGGTACAGTGACGTTGATCAAGGCTGCGGGACTGATCATCGCAATATCACGAGCTTTATATCGTCCACAAGATACGGTACAATATATCGCTGGCCCTAAAAACTATAAACAGAGATACGGTACAATATACCACTGGCCCTATGAACTATCAACAGAGATACGGTACAATATATCACTGGCCCTAAAAACTATAAACAGAGATACGGTACAATATATCACTGGCCCTAAAAACTATCAACAGAGATACAGTACAATATACCACTGGCCCTATAAACCATCAACAGAGATACGGTACAATATACCACTGGCCCTATAAACCATCAACAGAGATACAGTACAATATACCACTGGCCCTATAAACCATCAACAGAGATACGGTACAATATACCGCTGGCCCTATAAACTATCAACCGAGACAACGTCAGAGTTAAAATCAATCGTATTTACTGATCCAGAGGAGAGCCAGTGGATTAAACCCTCTCTAAAGAGCAAAAAATAATCTCTCTCTGTTTCTCTCAGTTTACAGAAGGTTCAAAAGTTCCTTTGAACCTATTAAAATGTTAGATGTGAGCTTCTTAACAGAGATAATGTGATGCAGTAATGTGTAGTATTTTGAGAAAACGATTAATGTGGTTATTAAATAATGTTGAGGTTTGTTATTGATGTTTGTTGAGTTCTTCCCTTGAGTACTGTTATTGATGAACATCAAAATGGTATACAATACCGACAGGTTGTTAGGTAAGACACATATGCAACAGTTAGACAACTTTATTCCGAAACGTTTCGCCTACACAGTAGGCTTCTTCAGTCGAATACAGAAAGTAGGCAGGAACAGTAGAGATGTGAAGACGATGTAATCAGTCCATCACCCTTAAAGTCGTAGAATTTGAGGTTGTCAGTCCCTCGGCCTGGAGAAGTTCAGTTCCATAGTCTATGGAACTGAACTTCTCCAGGCCGAGGGACTGACAACCTCAAATTCTACGACTTTAAGGGTGATGGACTGATTACATCGTCTTCACATCTCTACTGTTCCTGCCTACTTTCTGTATTCGACTGAAGAAGCCTACTGTGTAGGCGAAACGTTTCGGAATAAAGTTGTCTAACTGTTGCATATGTGTCTTACCTAACAACACTGTTATTGATGTTTGTTGAGTTCTTCCCTTGAGTACTGTTATTGATGTTTGTTGAGTACTTGCCTTGAGTACTGTTATTGATGTTTGTTGAGTACTTCCCTTGAGTACTGTTATTGATGTTTGTTGAGTACTTCCCTTGAGTACTGTTATTGATGTTTGTTGAGTACTTCCTTTGAGTACTGTTATTGATGTTTGTTGAGTACTACCACCACCACCACCACCACTACCACCACTACCACCACTACCACCACCACCACCACACCACCACCCTACCACCACTACCACAACCACACCACCACTACCACCACAACCACCACCACACCACCACTACCACCGCTACCACCACCACCACCACTACCACCACTACCACCACAACCACCACCACTACCACCACTACCACCACTACCACCACCACCACACTACCACCACTACCACCACACCTACCACCACTACCACCACACCACCACACCACCACTACCACCACTACCACCACAACCACCACCACTACCACCACTACCACCACTACCACCACCACCACCACTACCACCACTACCACCACTACACCACCACACCACCAACCACCACCACTACCACCACTACCACAACCACTACCACCACTACCCCACAACACCACCACTACCACCACCACCACCACTACCACCACTACCACCACTACCACCACAACCACCACCATACAACCACTACCACCACTACCACCACTACCACCACTACCACCACTACCACCACAACCACCACCACTACCACCACTACCACCACCACCACCACTACCACCACTACCACCACTACCACCACTACCGCCACTACCACCACTACCACCACTACCACCACTACCACCACCACTACCACCACTACCACCACTACCACCACCACCACCACTACCCACTACCACCACACCACCCTACCACCACAACCACCACACTACCACCACTAACACCACTACCACCACCACCACCACTACCACCACAACCACCACTACCACCACTACCACCACTACCACCACCACACCACCACCACTACCACCACTAACACCACTACCACCACCACCACCACTACCACCACAACCACCACTACCACCACTACCACCACTACCACCACCACCACCACCACCACTACCACCACTAACACCACTACCACCACTACCACCACCACCATCACTACCACCACTACCACCACTAACACCACTACCACCACTACCACCACTACCACCACAACCACCACCACTACCACCACTAACACCACTACCACCACCACCACCACTACCACCACAACCACCACTACCACCACTACCACCACTACCACCACCACCACCCCCACCACTACCACCACTAACACCACTACCACCACCACCACCACTACCACCACTACCACCACTACCACCACTACCACCACTACCACCACTAACACCACTACCACCACAACCACCACCACCACCACCACCACCACTACCACCACTAACACCACTACCACCACCACCACCACTACCACCACAACCACCACTACCACCACTACCACCACTACCACCACTACCACCACTAACACCACTACCACCACTACCACCACCACCACCACTACCACCACTACCACCACTAACACCACTACCACCACTACCACCACTACCACCACAACCACCACCACTACCACCACTAACACCACTACCACCACCACCACCACTACCACCACAACCACCACTACCACCACTACCACCACTACCACCACCACCAC